TGCTCAGGGGTCCATCGGCAGACTTCCCTTCTCCCTGCTGGTGTCCCCAAGATCCTGACCCCCATTTCTTAGGGAACTCATTTTTCTTTTTTGGTAAAAACACGCAGCACCCCAACCCCCACTCCAACCCCCACTCCTAGGATGCTTGGACATTGCTCCCACTCACCTTGCAGAATGCAAAGTCCTTTGAAATCCTGCTGCAAAGATGAGCCAGAAAGCATACAGCCACTATAAAGGACCAACTTGTGTCCATCAAGTCATTTGGAATCTTAGATTATCAGGGTCTGTGGCTGAGCCAGTAGGTACGATGCAGGAATAACCCCATACCGAATCTCTTCTACTTGGCTAGTCCTTGGAGTACCCCAGTCCATGCTCAGGTGACTCAGGGGGCTTTCATTCAGGGATGTCAGTGAGCTCATATTGTTCCACTGCACCCACCGATACCCAAGTACACTCACTTGCTTCCTGTTCCTTTGATCTCAACTGGGTGTCATCTGCAAGCCCTGTGCCTGATTCTGCTTCCTCTTCTAGACCCTTATTAAGTGAGGGTAGCTGGGCCCCATCTGCGTCATGTGCCCTTTATCTTCATTTATTGTGACCTCGTAAAAAATCAGGCATCGTAGACCTTTAGCACCCTGACCAGGCATAGTTTTGAGCTATAGCATAGCTTACGGTCCCTGCTTCAATTGAATGGTGCCAGAGGGATGTTTATCCCTTGCTTCCAGATCAGCTTTATCTTCTCTGATGGAGCTTTCATTTATACTGACCTCTCCACCTTCGTCTTTATCTCCTCCTGACCTCCTACTCCCCCTTTCCCAAATTAGCCTGTTGGCAGCCCTGTAGCAGAAGGCCCTTTATGCGGGCAGTACATGCTGAAAAGCAAAACTGCAGGCTTCCTGGCCCAAGAGCGTTCTGCAGGCTGACCCCAGCTCAGTTAAGGTCCTACCTCTAATAGCTGGGTGGGTGAGGAGCCATTTTCAAAAGAGATCCTCTCTGCCAAGGTAGAAGAGACATCCTCCTCTGAGGAGTGGGGCATGCCCACTTGGCTCTTGCACAGGACAGGCGCTTGGGGTACAGTGGAGACCCCACTTATGGTGACGTCCACTTGAGCCTGTAGGTTCTGCCTCCACAGATTCAACCTGCTGACCTCTGCGGGCGGTTGCATCTGCGAATGTGGGACTTGGATGGATGGGGAAGAATCCACATGCCTATGGATGGGGAAGAATCCACATGCCAGGGTCCCTGCATTGTTCACAGGGTAGCTGGAGAACCTTTGTGCTCACAGGTAAGGATGTCCAGCTATGGGGAAGAGGCCATGACTTCTAAGGATTTGCTTCTGTGCGGGCCAGTGGAACAGCCATCCCCCAGGAGGATGGGGCACCCCCAGGTAGGGTTGTGATCAGCAACCCTACCATCTGGTAGGTTGGCGGACCTGCTCACTGGAAATCACTCACCTGAGGGTCCCATCCTCCTCAGTAAGCAGCACAACAATGGCCTGAACTTGGGCACCTGCCCAGGGGGCCCCAGAGGCGAGGGTTTGATCATGGATGAGGGAGGGATTAGTATAGTGTCTGCATTCCTGCAGAACCCACAGTTTATCCAGGCAACAAAATAGACAGGCCTCAATGTTCATTTGTTGTTTAATTTATGTCTCTTTCATGTCCACCGGGTCTCAGGGGCACATAGCTAGACTGTGCCTTATCAGGTGACAAGTTGGTGCAGTCCCTAAGAACCTAGAGGAGATTGTAGAGACAGTGAAAGCAGGGTTGAAAGTCACTTCCAAGACCGTGTTCCTCCAGGCTTTCCTCTGGGAAGGACCAAAGACAGGGAGCATTTCTCTCTCATGGTGGCGAGTGCCATAAAAGCCGGGACTACCTGCTGATTATCTGGACTGTTGGCTATCATATGTTCAACAGAGTCTTGCTGATTCTCCTGTAGCCTTGTGGGTTTTTCACATGTTCATATTTCACATATTTTCCAGTTGTTTTTAATCAGTTGTTTTATTGGTATCATGTCTCCTGGTGTGGTGAAGCAGGGGACGCCCAGCTTCGCTCAGTCCTCTTCTCTGGGGAATTCTGCACCCTGGTCCTGCTGCTTTCATTGTACCTGTCAGCACAATTTACTCAGGCTTTCACCTTCCTCTTGGCTGTCCTTATCTTTTTCCCACCCTTTATTGATGGCCCAAGCATTTTTTTTTTTTGTCCCATTGTTCGCCTTTTGTTTCTTTTCTCAAATGTAAATGACTAGCCTTATTTTGTGAAAAGAAAAGTTAGGTCACCTCTTATTTCCTCAAAGGGATTAGAAATATTTTGGCTTGGGAAACCACAGAGGTGGCATGCATTTCAGTTGATAAAAGCTGTTGACACTGAAGCCAGGAGAATATCCACACTTGAAAGCTTGTCTGAAGGAGAAAAATACCAGGACCATGGGCCCAGAGGGATGCTAGGACTGGCAGCCCGAGGGGTCCACTGGGGCTTGTCATCGCCAGCCTCACATTTGGTAGAAAACTGTGTGTGCTACACGTATGTTTTTCAATTTTTTCTCGCCTGAATTCTAACTATTTTCTCTAAAATTTCCCAGATGACCTATGCATCCTTTAAATTGAAGCTCTTGTTATATTGTATAAATAGAAAAAGCTTAAACTGGAATGCTTAGCCATTTTAATTAGTTATATGTATGTCAGTTGTAGCAAAATTAAAATGATAACCTCAAGGTTTTGGATGGGTAAGAAAATTAACCCTGTTATATTATTATTACCACAATTAGTATTAATAGTAGTAGTAGTAGTAGTAGTAGTAGTAGTAGTATTGGCTTTTTGGCTACACCCAGTGATGCTCAGGGATTACTCCTTGCTATATGCTCAGGGATTACTCTGGTGATGCTCAGGAGATTACATGTGGTGCCAGGGATCAAACCCAAGTCAGTGGCATGCAGGACAAATGCCTTGCCTGCTATTCTCTCCAGCCCTGATCCCATTATTTCAGGGGGCAGTCAGGTGTCTGTGTCCTTGTCCTCTTATGCCATTCTTTGTCTCCAGTTCTGGTGTACACAGAGACAAATAACACCTTGGGATTTTAGCCACCTCTGGGCAGTGAACATGAAACCAGACCTACCCATTGAGAAATTGAGCAAAAGTCACGTGATGTAGTTTCTTCCATAGTGGGGCACCCGCAGGAAAACAGTTATAGAACTAAAAGGAGTCAGATGGTGTTATTCAAGTCTGTGGAATAAAACCCACTCACTGTCCACTGACCAGCCAAGGCAGAAAGTCGATTCTCACTGATGTAGGACATTGATCACAGACTTCCTAATGATTTGTTGCACTCTCTCTCAGTTGAGTCCATGGCAAATGGAAATCCTCATTAAATCTGCAGCCTGTGTGTGTGTGTGTTTGTTTGTGTGTGTGTGTGTGTGTTGGAGGAGGGCCTTGCAGGCAATACTCAAGAGGCCCTGGGGACTTCTACCAGCAATTCTGGGCCAACTGAGCCAGAAGGTTAATGTAAGCAAGAATGTGCTGCTTGGCTCTTGTGATGCTAGGGATGACCTGGGCCACCCTGGCGGTGCTTGGGGGCTAGCAGGGCCCAACCAGGTAGTGCTCAGGAAACCATGTAGTGGATCAGACTGTTCAGCCACAGGTAATACTCCCACTAAGTTATCTATGTTTAAGACTTGCCCTCAAACTTTGCAAAGTTAAAGACCATGTAACCAGTAGGTACTGTTATTCGTCGATTGCCTCGAGCAGGCCCCAGTAACGTCCCCTTCATCCTAGCCCTGAGATTATATTCAAGGCTCTTTAGGAGAATGAGACCCATCATTGTTACTGGTATTTGTCATATTAGGCATGCCACGGGGAGTTTGCCAGACTCTGCCGTGTGGGCAGGCTACATTCGGTAGCCTGCCAGTTTGTCCAAAGTAGGAATGAGATAATAAGATGTCATAATAAGATGTCATTCGCGACCACGCGGTTCCGGGAGCTGGTTTTTATAGTCTCTGAGTCTTGGCTATTGGTGGGATTACACGGCGCCAGGGGGCCAGTTGGTGGGTGTGACCCCCGCCTACTGGAATTTGGAGGATCTGGGTGGAGGATGCTCGGCCCAAATCCGAGTAGGCTTGGAGATCTCGGCCTTGAACCCGCGTGACTTTGTCCCTCTGCCAGTACCTTCATGTGTGCAGAGAGTGATCTCAGCATGGTGGTGGTACTGAGAAGTTTGAAATGGTTCCTGCACCACAGAGGACTTCCTTGGGGGCAGGAATGCAGCTTCTGATGTTTTTCTGCCTCACCTGGAGCAGGGCTGGATTGTGGGGAGTTAAGGAAGGGTCCAGCGATGACGGTGCCTACTGTGACTAAGCCCCATTGACTCTGACCCAAGTGTGCATCCAGACCCCATGTACTGAGACTATCATTTTGAAGACAGCAAAAGTAGCAGAGAGCTCCACCTCCACGCGTGCGCCTGGTAAAACTGCTCGCCCTGTGTCTGAGCAGTAAACATGAAAGCATTTAGGTTGCTCAGTGGCAAATACTTTACCTCCTACTCACTTTAAGTGTTCTCTAATTGTTCAATGCCTCACTCAGCTTTGCTCCTAAGTGGCTGCTTTATAAGTTAGGGATCATGGGAATATGTGTGTTGGGGGTGGGGGAAGATAGACTGTGAGTAGGTACCCTCTCCTTAATTTTTTTGGTGTGTGTATGGGGGTGTTGGGGCCACACCCATGTGCCCAGGTCCCACTTCTAGGTCTTCACTCAGGATCACTCTGGCAGGGCTTGGGAGACCATAACTGGTATCCAAACCCAACCCCGGGTTGGCCCTATGCAAGGCAAACACTCTGCCCAGTGTGTTATCGCTCTGGCCCCCCTGCCCTCGCTTTTTAAGGAAAAAGGAGCCATTCCAGGGGTTGAGGCTGTGACCCAGAGTGGGATTAGACCTACCTCGCCTGCGCCAGGCCGGGGGTTTTAATCCCCGCCCTCCTGCGCCTAATGCCTGTACCTTCGTGTTCCGCAGGTTCTGCAACCCGCCCGTGCTAGTGTGGACCTCACAGCCCCAGCCGGGCCAGCAGCAGACCTACTGGAGAAGAAGAGGCCAGGAAGCCTGTGGATTGCTGGCCCCGGGGCCCCTGGAGGAGCTGGAGGCCAGGAGGATGGCGCAGGCGCACAGCCTGCCGGCGCACGTGCGCGAGAGCCCGTGGGAAGTTGGAGGAAGGACTGAGCATGTGATGAAGAAGGCAGCGTGGGAGGAAGAGCTGAGAGCGGCGCAGTGGCGTGAGGGCAACCCGGACGGCTGGGGCCAGCCCCGGAGGCTCGGGCGGCACATGTCCGATGGCGACGGGGAGCGGCTCTTCCGCGACCTGTACCCCTACCTGCCCGGGGAGCAGGTGCTGAACCCCCAGAGCAGAGGGAAGTCCCGCTCCCTGCCGCGCGTCCTCTCCCCCGAGGGCCTGAGCTGTACGGAAATTCCCATTGCCCTGAATGATGGGCACGTGCCGGGGGCACCCCACATGTACCCTCCCAACTGCGTGCCACCTCTGGAAGTCCCCCGGCACCCCGAGAAGGGCGCTTTTCCTCGGCCCAGGTTTGGGCGACCCCTCCGACCTCCACCTTACAACTCCTACCAGCAGTCCCGAGGGCCCGTGGAGAGCGGTGGCGCCCCTGACGGCCAGCACGCCGACCCCTACGGCCACTACGCGGCCAAGAGTGGCGTGCCCAGGTCCGAGCTGTGCCTGTCTGACCCGGCCCTGGAGCCGCCCGTGTACGTGCCTCCGCCCTCCTACCGCTCCCCGCCGCAGCCCATCGCCAACCCCTACTTGGAGGAGGCCGCGCCCAGGCCAGGGCCCAGTGCTCGCAGCCCACAGCCACACCCAGGGGAGAAGGCGGGCGCCGGGGGCCCTTTTCCTGCCAGCTCTTTGGCAGCTGGGCATGAGTATGGGGCAAGCCCACGCTCTCCACGCTCTCCTCGGGGGCTCCCTCCACAGCCCCGGCCCACTGCTGCCACCGCCACTACCGCCCCAGATGGCTCGGTCCTGTACATTCCCTTCGACGACCCCAGGATCCGGCACATCAGACTCGCCCAGCACCAAGGTTTCTGCGAGGAAGCAAAGCCTGATGAGAAGGTGCCCCGCTACAGCCCCTTCCCTGTGTCGCAGCCGGCCCCTGGCACCACGCTCCTTTACAATGCCCTGGTGAATCCACAGAGTGGGGCACCCGTGCCAGGCCATGAGGGGGGTCCCATCTTTGATCATCCCATGCCCCCCTGGCTGTGGGATCAGCTTCTCAGGGATGGAGAAAGCAGCGGCTTTCCAGATCCCAGGGACCCGTTTGGCGTGGCACAAGGTCAGCGGCCTGATGCCCGAGGTGGCCGGCTGGACTCCCTGGAGGCTCATGCCCCCACCTCCCCTGCCCCCCTGGGCGAGAGTCCCTGCGAGACGCAAACCCGGCTGAGAAAATTTGAAACTGGTATCCCCACCAAGAGAAGCGCAAAGAAGAAAACGAATGAGACCATATTTTGTTTGGTCTCTGTCCCAATCAAATCGGAAGCCCCTCTGCCCTCGGCCGATATGAACCACAAAGACTTGAAACGGGGTGCTGCTCAAAAGAACGGCCTTGATAAGAGCCTGGCTCTGCGGGAACAAAGCCCGCTGAGCATGTCCTCCACCGACCTGGAGTTGCAGGCCCTCACCGGAAGCATGGTCAGCCGAGCTGGGCTCCCCAAGCAGGAGCCAGCCCGTTCAGACGTGGACAAACAAGCAAATGACCTCAGTCCCCTCCCGCCGGTGAGACACGGAGAACTCAAATCTTCTGGCTCCTGGCCAGGACACCAGTACAGAGACCAGCAGACACAAACCAGCTTCACAGAAGAACCCAGGACCCTGGCACCCCACCCCACTGCTGAGGTGGCTGGCGGGCCCAACACCGTGCTGACAGCCAAGTTCATAGACCCCGCCACCGTCCCTGAAACTCAGGTGCACCCGGCGCTGAGCCCCGGTGACCGCAGACGGAGGCCAAATGCCTGTCACCTGAAGGGACAGATGTCCTTGAACCTGTCCAGCAACAGCGCCTTCTCCAGGACGCTATCATCCACCAGTCAGGCCCCGGTGCCCAAGGAGAGTTTAAGACAGCTGAGCATGGAGGGCCGTGGGTACCCAGCCAGCCCCAAGCTCCCGGGTGAAGGACCGAAGGGGCCACCCGCAGGCCCTGGCCACAACAAGGAGCTCTTTGGTCAGTTTCTTTTGAAGCCCGTGAGCCGCCGTCCCTGGGACCTGATCAGCCAGCTGGAAAGCTTTAACAAGGAGCTTCAGGAAGAAGAAGGAAGCAGTCACAGCAGCAGCGGCAGCAGCAGCAGTGGTGACAGCAGCAGCAGCAGTAGCAGCAGCAGTGAGGACAGTGACACGGAATGGCCAGGGGAAGGCCAGGCCCACTCCACACCCAAGCGCTCTGGTTTCCGGGGTGACCGCCAGCAGGAGTCGGGAGTGAAAGAGGGCTCGCCCTGGATGTTGGGGCCAAAGGACCCCGGGTTCAGAGCTGGGGGTAGAGTGAAGAGTAAGTCTGAGAGCTGGAGCGAGGAGCCAAGGCCGGCACCCCCAAGTGACCAGCACCCATTCTCTGAGGCCTTTGGCGGGGATTCCTGCCTCTCGGCCCTCCAGAGCTTGGTGGTGGAGAAGGAAAAGGAGGAGGCCGAGACAAGAGTTGACCCACTATCGTTCAGCCCGGGGCCCGTAAAAAGAATCCCGTCACCTTCCCAGTTCAGTGACAGCAAGCCGGCCTCCGACTCCTTTCCTGCCCATCCGAGAGAGCCCCAAGAAAGGCAGAGCTCGCCCAGTGTTGTCAGCACCCAGGGGCTGAGCAAGGCCATCCCTCCCGTGGCGGACAGTGGGACCCAGGAGGACCCAGCGCTCCCACTGTCTCTGACCAGCAAAGCCCGGGGCGTCTCAGCACCAGACCTGCGGTCCGTGGGGCTGCCTCGGCCAGTGGCACCCAGTGCCAATGGCTTGGACGGGTCCCTGGGCACAGTGGGTGTGACAGAAATACCCCCGAACGAGTCCCTCCAAGAGAGGGCTGCGAGGATCCTAGGCATCGAGGTGGCCGTGGAGTCCCTGCTGCCTGGAGCCCGCAGGTCCGCACCAAACCAGCACCCTGAGCACAGTGAACGTACCTGCAGACCCGACTCCCTCCCAGAGGTGACCGTGACACGTGACACGCCGTCAGGAGAGTCCACAGTGTCTGCTGACGCCTTTTATGGCCGCCGAAAGTGTGGTTGGACCCAGAGCCCCCTGTTTGTCGGGGAGAGGGAGAGCGCACGGCGCTCGCCGGAGGCGACCCAGCAGCACCCTGGGGTGGACCCAGGGCCCGCCCCCAGCGCCCAGCAGCCCCCAAATCTCAAGGACACGCCTTCGAATCCCCCCTTCCGGTCCACCTTGCTGCACATCGTCGAAAGGTCGCCGAGTGTGGGCAGTAGTGGAGGCGAAAGGAAACTCCGCAGTACGTCCAAAGTGATCGAGAGTTTGCAGGAGAAGCTGGCCTCCCCCGCGCGCAGGGCCGCCCCTGAGCGCCTCATGCGCATGAAGGAGGTGAGCTCGGTGTCCCGCATGCGGCTGCTCACCTCCCTAGGCACCGACTCCACCGACTCCACCGAGGATCCCGATGAGCTGCCGGAGCCCGAGCCCCGAGCCCTGGTGCCTGCGGGGGCACCCGCGCCCTCCCTCTCGCTGGAAGAGAACGGGCACCCTGCAGTGCCCCAGGAGCAGAACGCAGCGCACGACTTCTGGTGCCCAGGTGAGCAGGCAGGTGGTGGAGTTGGGGCGTCCCGGTGTGTGTGTGGGGGGGGGCGGGGAGCGTGGCTGAGCCAGGTGGGATAGGGAATGCTCGTGAACCTAGCATGTGCTCACCACACTTGTGGTGCGGCAGAAAGGGTTCCAAGGGTTTTCCATGAAAATACCCAAAGAGGGTTTGAAGTTCCAGAAGAATTTGGGAACCCTGGACTTTGGATTTTAAGGCCACACCTGGCGATGCTCAGGGTTTACTCCTGGCTCTGCCCTCAGGGATCCGGTGGTGTTCAGGGACCAAATGGGATGCCAGGACCAGCTCTGGGTGGCAGTCTGCAAAGCAAGTGCCCTACCCGCTGTCTATACTCTCCTGCTGTCCTCCCCCCCCCCCCCCCCCATGAATCCTGGACTTAGAATCTGCCAATCTGAGCTCATACCTCAGTGGGACCTCCAGGAAACATAAAATGGTAACAAACAGGAGTTTAGACATTCAAGTGAAGTGCTAAGAGCTCTTAATGTTCTTGACCCAGTTTGCCTGTTTTTTTTTTTCACACCTCGTTTTAAATCTTTCATTCTGATAGCAAATAAATCTTTCTGGTTTTATTTATAGTTCAGATTTTTTTCCATCACAAGTTGAAAAGTTAGAAAAAGAAATGGTGCACACCAAGCTGGACAAAACTTTTAAGACATGTAACAGACAAAGAATTGATATTTCTAAGTAGTTTTGAATCTCCAAACATTCCAGTTCTGTTTATTTATTTATTTTCTGGAGGAGGCCTTTGGGTTTGGGGCTACACCCTGCTCAGAGGTTATTCCCAGCTCAGTGGTCTGGGGTCACTCCTGGCAGTGCTCAGGGGACCATGTAGCGCTAGGGATTGAACTTGGACCTTCCGCATGCTTTCATGCCTAGCAAGCACTCAGTTCACTGAACTATCTCTCCAGCCCCACATTCCAGATTTTATTTTGTTTTTTGTTTTGTTCCGTTGGCTTTTTGGGTCACACCCAGCGATGCTCAGGGGTTACCCCTGACTCTGCACTCAGGAATTACTCCTGGTGGTACTCGGAGGGGGGGGTGCACATGGAAAACCAGGGATTGAACCAGGGTCAACTTCTTGCTATGCAAACACCCTACCCTTTGTACTGTAGCTCCAGCCTCCATTTCAGTTTTTTTTTTTTAACTGGCTTTCATTGCAGGTACCATTTCTCATTTACTTGATCCTCTATAACAATCTTTTTTGTTTGTTGGTTTTGGGGCCACATCCAGCCATGGTCAGGGGTTATTCCTGGCGCTGTACTCAGGGATCACTCCTGGTGGTACTTGGGGGACCCTTTGGGATACTGGGGATCAAACATAGGTCAGCTGTGTACAAGGCAAGCATCTGCCCTCTGTACTATCTACCACTCTCTGCCATATAATAATCTTGAGCACTGACAATAAGACCTTGGATGAGATCGGAGGTTCCCAAATTTATTTGGCCTACCAACTCCTTTTTAGGAGGAAAGAGCACTCAGTGCCTCCCGGAAATCTGCGTTGTTTAAGTACACAAACAGCACGTCCATGTGTGCCCAAAACTCCTACCACTCCCTGGGACCATCCCATGGCCAGTATCACCTACTTCAGAAAATATTGGACTAGACTCTGAACATGAGCTCAGAAAGGCAAGCCGCTTCTTTGGTTCAATGAAAGGAATCCCTGCACTTAGCAGTGTCCTTGTTTATGTCCACAGAGCTCGGAGTCATGATACCTTGCTGTCAAGTATTTCTCTGGATTAAATGCCTGGATGTGTGCTCATGTAGTTTGAAGAGCCTGATGTCTCATTTATTACCCTGTATTTCTTTCTTATTTCCCTTATTTTTTTTTTTTAAAAAAAGTAGAGTTGAATTAATGTATGGTTCTCTCCCAAAAGTTTTGTACAAAAAATTCTCAAGAAGCCATTCCTAGAGCAATAGATAATACAGAGGGTAGAGTCTTGTACTACCCAGTGGACCTGGATTCAATCCCCAGCATCCCACTTGGTCCCCTGAGCCCTCCAGGAGTGATCTCTGAGCAAAGAGCCAGGACTAACCACTGAGCACGAACAGATTTGGGTCCATTATCTCCTATCTCCCCCCTCTACCCCCCCCCCCCCCACACACAAAGAAGCTATTCCTAAAAATCAAGATCCTGTTGTGTATTTTAAATGATTATATTATCCCTGTCACTGTATCACTGTCAGCCCGTTTATCGTTGAATTACTTGAGTGGGTGCCAGTAACATCTCTATTCCTCCCAGCCCTGAGATTTTAGCAGCTCTTCTTACTTGTCTTTTCCTAATGACTGGAGACTCTTTTAGAGTCAAGGGAATGAGACCTGTTGTTGTTACTGTATTTTGGCATATCAAATACACCATGGGGAGCTTGCCAGGCTTTGCCCGTGTGGGTGGGATACTCTTGGTAGCTTGCTGGGCTCTCCAAGAGGCATATATTTATATATTTTTCACTATGATTATATTATAGAAATCATTTATATAAGCAACTGTATGAAATTAGCATATAAACCACTTTGGAGACCCTACTGAGAAGCAGTAAATCAATAAAGTATTCCAGGTTCAGTGCAGGTCTCTTGGTAAATCTTGTAGATCCAGTGAGCTCAATTCTTTCTCCTGTCATCCCAAGCAGCCTGTCAGACCACTTTCCTACTCTCAGTTGCTCAACTAAGACAAGACAGCCAGAAGTCCTTTGTTCCCCGGTCATGCTTTCTATGCTTTTATTTTGGCACTGCTTATGAAACTTGTAAAAGGTCCTCTGATGGGTTCATCCATGAATTCTGTTTCTTAAGTCCCCTGAGAGTGGATTGCTCTATCTCAGAGAGTCAGGTGAGGAGCTTTTTTCTATAGTAACTTGCAGACCTTTGGGCCTCTCTGTTTCTCTCATCCTAACCTGAACTTCTCTGTCAGTCTTCAGACATAAGAAGGCACATATCCACCCTACTCATAGTAACTTTCCCTGGACATTTCTCAACCATTTCCGCTCAGATGCAGACAGATCACTCCTGCATCTCTCTTTTATATATTCTCTACATGGGCTTTATACCCTAGATGGATAGAGAGTTAAAGTAGATAGTTCAGGTTCCACAGCATAAGCCTCTGTCTGGAAGGAATTGTGAATCATTTCTTCTACCTTCAGCAGGGCACAGCCTGGGCCCCCAGGGAGGGAGTGTCACTACACTGCCCGCAGACTGGACCTCCAAAGCCACGTGGGGATTCAGATCCTACCATTCAATCATGGCACCCCAAAAGGGTGCTCCCTTTCTGTTTTTCTGTTTTGCAATCTGAGAATTTCAAAGTATCTGGAAAAGACCACTTGCTTCAGCTAGAAGGACCCAGAAACTTTTGCCCAACTCCAGAATCTCCCTGCACTTCTTTCTGTTTTCCCATAAATGCAATAGGATTCTTGGCCAGTGTCTTCCTGCTCTGTATGCAGAGTACATTATTGAATAATCCATCTGCCTGCCAGGGGCCCTCTGGAATCTTCTGATTTTACAAATTTGGTCCTTGCTGAGGGAAAGTATAGGAAGAATCTGGAAATTTTCTAGTATGGTAGAAAGGGATTATACAGCCCCTCCTCTCCCCCCTTTTTTGACATAGTGGGTTTTGCTAGACTTTGTGATTTCTCCTTCCCACTTCACCCCAAAATAAGCCCACTCTTTTTTTTTAATTTTAGGGAAATTGATTTATAATTTTATTAAGTGATAAGGTTTTTTAATGCTCTAACACCACACCCTCCACCAGCATACCCTCTCCACCACTCCCCTCATTTGTAAGTGCTAGTTTTAAAAACTGATTTTCCTTATCTTTAACATCAGTATGATTGTATGAGGCCTATATCTTCCTGAGATTGTGAGGATTTTGAAGTAAGATTTATCCTACCATCAGGGACCTGGATGTAAATGTTTCCAAGTCTTGGTCTGTGGCCCCATTATTCAGGCTATTTTCTAACATCCACTTTCTAGCTCAGTAAAGCACTCCTTCAATTCTCAGCCCCACCATTTGTCATGTGAATGGGGTTGGACAGAAATCAGAAAATATCTGAGTGATGCTCATTTTAATTCTAAATGGCCATTAAAAATCCTTCTCACATGATCTGATTAATTTTTGAACCATAGTGAAGTCCTTGGTTGAAATTCTAATTATTTTTTTCCATTCTGTCTGATTCATTTTTTAATATCTAATAATGTCTCCCATACTCAAAGCAGGTTCACTGCTCATGTTGGTAGAAACTTCAGGCTAGCAGGGCACCCTAGGAATAATTTCTATCACATGGCGCATTGGGGGAGTTTATGGCAGATTTTATGTGATGGTCACCTCTGGCTTTGAGAAAAACAGGTGTATAGTTCAAGCATACAACATGTTAACTTTTTCACTCAGTTTCTCCACAAGTTAGAATGATTCTTTATTGCTTGGTTGCCATTGAACTTTTGGACTTTGTGATCTTCTGATGTATTTTATTATTTTAAACAAAAATCTCCTAAGCCCCAAATCCAACCAGTCCTGTCCCTGTCACCCCAATAGTCTGGAACCTCCTCACTGCTCTGTAACTCAGCCCTCTTAAATTCTGATTTGGGTCTAAAATTAGCACCCCTCCCTTCACCACACACACATATCCTTAGAGAACTTTATTATCTGTGCTATAGTACCTTCAAATCTTAAAATGCTTTTATTTCATATTAAAGATGATGATTTGAGGAAACACCCTCTGTAGTGGTCTTTTTAAATTTTTGACTCTAGCTAAAAACAAAAAAATAAGCAGCTCAAAGCTATTGAGGCAACAGGATCCCATTTCTGCTGGGTGATGGATTAGGTTCCCATTCACAAGTCTAATCCCAGGCACTAAGCGTGTTCAGCACCAACTTGTTCTAGCAACCTCAGTTGCCTGTTCTCTCCTTTTGTTACTGGGACCACTACCAAATTGTCATTGTGGCCCTTTTGGTTTAGTGCTCAGCCCAGCAGTACTGGGGGATCATGGGTGCAGGGGAATCAAACTTAGGACCTTGAGCCCCCTTGGGAGTTGCTGTACCAGCCCCTTTCCTGTTCTCTTAGCGGTTTACAAGAGGAGAACGAAGTGGAATAATTCACTTCTGAGGAAAATCTGGTAAAATTTGATGGTGTTCCATGAGGACATTGGAATGGCAGACATTAGCACATCTTCACTGGGCAGAATATTTCCAGAATGTTACTACATAAACTTGTGAGTTATCGTAACCTGAAATATTGCCCATGGGGAGCCAGGGTTTTAAATACTTGGGGTCTGAATACTCTGTCTTATACACAGTGACCCCCTCATTGTATGTGGCTCTTGACCCTTTGGAAAAACTGTGACCCATCCTAATCAAAATAAGCCAGGAATTTAATAATACATCTTGGGACACAAAGATTTGGCACCAGAGAAAAGATAAAATAACTTTGTCATTTTTGTATTGATTTGCTTGTTGAAATGACTTTTTAGTTGGAAAAATGAAATATATTATGAAAATTTGTTTCATCATGCTTTAACATGACTCTTAGAAAATGTAAGAACATGTTAGGTGGAACCCATTGTGGTTATTTTATTTTTTCAATTTGTTTTTATTTTGGGGGCCACATCCAGCAGTGCTCAGGGCTTGCTCCTGGTTCTGCCTTCAGGGATCATGCCTGGTAGAGCTTGGTGGGGGTGAGGGGGTCATATGGGGTGCCAGGAATGAGGCACATGCAAGCCAAACACCCTGCCCTCTATACTGTTGCTCAGCCCTCCTGTTGTGTCCTTATTGGGATTAGACCCTCAGTGATAGGAAGAGCCTATCAGTCGACAGAATGTTTTCTACACCTCCCTAGCTTTGGGTTGTTGGCTTCAAGAGTTGGGCTCTGGGGCTCAGGCACATTCTTTTATTGTTTTTTATTCTTATTTTTTAATTTAATTTTATTTTTATAAAGTTCACAATAATTTATTACATTCAATATTCCGATAGCACAGCGGGTAGGGCGTTCGCCTTACAAGCGGCCAACATGGCCGACCCAAGTTCGATTCCTCCGCCCCTCTCAGAGAGCCCGGCAAGCTACCGAGAGTATTCGATATGCCAGACACAGTAACAACAAAGTCTCCAGTGGAGATGTTACTGGGCCCGCTCGAGCAAATCGACGATCAACGGGAGGGCCTTTACCTTTACCTATATTCCAACACCAATCCCACCACCATTACACCTTCCCACCACCCTTATTTCCAATTTTCCCAAGCACCCGCCCAAGCCTGCCCCAATAGCAGGCTGTAAATAATTTATTTTGTATTGCTTGTTATGGATAATTCACTGAAAATGATCAAAGAAGGTTTTCTTAGATGAAAGTGTGTGAAGATTTTTGTATGTCACCCTAGAGCCATTAAGCCCTTGACTAAGAGATTACCAAAATGGTGTTACATGTTGAGCCTTGTGTGCTGATACATTTTTTAAATAAAGATTGGTTGCCTTCTACTTTACATCCCATCCAATGTAGTGTGCTCCTCCTGGTATATCAGTGGTGTACAGTATGTAAAGAATTTGCGACCATGCACTACAGGCATTCTAAATTTTAAATAGGGTGATACAGCTGGAATTACATTTTTAACTGGATTTTGACTTTGGAGTCCGGAGGCATCTCTACAGAATTTTTGCTCTCTTACAAGATTTATTTGTAAGTCTCTGGGTTATGGCCAGTTAATGAGCTTATATGGTACAAGAGGCAGATCGTGGGTGTGACTGCCAGGTTCCCGGGAGAACAGGGAGATGGGGGAGGTCACCCATCCCTGACTCCATGAGAACCTGGAAATTTTGGTCACAAAACCCGCATACCTGAATTTTCCAACAGATTCATTCATGGATGAGGCTTGTCCTAAGCCTGTGAAAATAGGCCATGAGCATGGGTTCTGGAGGATTTCAACTCTTGCAGTCACATTCTGTGGAGGTGTTTCCATGTGCCTGGCCAGGGGGAGAGCTGGCCAGTCAGTGTCCTGGTAACTCTGTAACCTGAGGCTTTCATAATGGAGTATCAACCTCTCTGGACCTCCCCAGCTGAAAATGTTCCCTTTCCACTTTGTGGTCAAGAGGTGAAAGCTCACCTTATGCTCGGTGGAGGAAAATTAACATCTTTGCACATAGAAGTTCACTCAGAGTCAGCACAAGGTGAGGCTTGACTGAACACAAAAATGCTATGCTCAGCCATTAACCTCCTAGGTTGTCACAAGGGTGTCTTGAGGGGGAAGCCTCAGGAGGCAGGACCCACGTGAACTCTGCTTGCCTTGAGCCAGCTGGGCACATGGGTGGCACAGCCAGGCATGTTTGAAGACATAGACCATCCCAGGCACAGACTGTCCTATCCAGTGTCTAATGGCAGATTCCAGGGGCTATTAAACACCCACCTTGGCACTGGCAGTTGCACGGAGCTCACATTGATGAGGTTTGTGTGTGGCAGGGATTCTGGGGACAGCATTCTGTGGCTATATAAATGGGAATTTCTGTGGCCTTCCTCCTGCACACTGGGCAGATGGATTGAAATAGACATAGTTTTGGGGCCTGGAGTGATAGCACAACGGATAGGGCGTTTGCCTTGCATGCGGCCAACCCGGGTTTGATTTCCAGCATTCCATATGGTTCCCCAAACACTGCCAGGGGTAATTCCTGAGTACACGAGCCAGGAGTAACCCCTGTGCATCACTGGGTGTGACCCCAAAAAGAAAAAATAAATTTAAAAAATAGACCCTTTTTAATATGTTATTTTTTGGGGGGGGTTGTGGTTTTTTTTATTGTTTGTTTTGGGGGTCACACCCAGTGATGTTCAGGGGTTACTCCTGGCTTTGCACTCAGGAATTATTTCTGGCATTATTCAGGGGACCATATGGGATGCCAGGGATCAAACCCAGGTTGGCTGTGTGCAAGGCAAATGCCCTACCCACTGTACTATCACTCTGGCCCCCTTTTTATTTTTTTTATAATCCATTCTGTATCTACCCAATTGTACCATCCTTCCAGGTCGCATCCATTTGGCAGTTTATCTGTAAGGTAGGAAGCCTCTGAACTTCTGGGGCAGGAGATTCGGGCAGGAAGAGGCCCTTAGGGACCTGTCGATCATGAAGGGGTCAGATTTAGGCACCCCCAGGCCAATGACAATCCAGTGATTGGACCCAGCGTGGCACCGATATTCTGGTATAAAAATGTCCCATTTGGAGATCCAGTACTTCTAGCTACAGTTTGGGGTGAGAGCTCTAGAAAGGACCTGTGTTTGGAAAGGTCTGGAAATTCTGTGCTCATAGGCATGTCTCCAGACCGGAGCTACCTGGTGGCTGGTGGCAGTCAGCTAGCCTTGCAGGCAGGATTTTGGGGTCCTTCAACCTTCAGAGATAGCATCTGACCACTAAGACACGCCTTCCAACAGCCAAATTTTATTAGAGTTAGAATTTACCAAAAAACAACAAAGAATTCCTCCTGAGCGTCAGCCAAGCACGTCACTGCTGGTTTTATGAGGGTTGCCTTTCAAGTTAATTATGCTCCACTAGACACAATAGGAAGAGACCAACAGGACATGCAGCCACTCTTGCTTTTTCCATCTGCAGTTCAATTATGGTCATTTGTGGCCCTTTAAAATGGTCTCTCAATACAGATCATATAGATGCATTATTATACCTATAGTTTAGATGACGTGTTATGGTTGTGAAGTACAGGATTACAAAGTTACTGCACCTTTGCCACCACAAAGATGTCCCTCCACCATGGTCCTTAGGTTATTTCTAGTGTACTTCTTCCTTCCTGCCCTCTGTCTCCCACTGCCAGCTAATCTCAGGCCAAGGGTTTTAAGTCCAAGGCCAAGAGTTTTTCATAGGTCGATACACTTTATTTCTTGCTTTGTTTCTCCATATACTGTAGATGAGTGAGATCATCTGGTATGTGTCCTTCTCCCTCTGAATTATTTCACTTAACATGAAGTCCTTGTTTCCTTGTTGGGAAAGACCAGTAAGGAGAGGTTGCTAAAATCTCAGGACTGGGACGAATGGAGACGTTACTGGCGCCTGCTCAAGTAAATCAATGAACGACAGGATGACAGTGATGCAGTGATACATAACATGATGTCCTTCAGTTTCATCCAAGCTGCAGCAAACTGCAAGATTTCATCTTTTCTAACAGCTACATAGTATTCCATGAAATAGCCTTTTCATTATTAGTTTTTCACTCCACGAAAATGAGATCATTAAAAGGTCTAGAAACTAACTTTCCTATACTTTTGTTTCTGTTTTTGGGTCACATTCAGCAGTGCTCAGGGATCACTCCTGTCAGTGTTTGGGGAACCACCTAGGGTGCTGGAAGTTGAACCCAGGTTGGCGGTGTGCAAGGCAAATGCCCTACCTGCTGTACTTTCACTCTGGCCCCCACTTTCACTTACGTTTAGATCTTGCTCCCTTGCCTAAACATTCTTATTTATGGACTGAGAATCACAGTAACAGAACAGGCTTATTAATTATACCTCTCTCTTTTCCCTCTGTCTTTCAGATTCCTATGACCCGAGCAGAGTGGAACGGGTGTAAAGAGCAGCTCGTAGAGTGGAACCCTGGCTCTTTGCTGATGGAGTGTTCTGAGTTGTATGAGCCCTCTTGCCCACGCAGACATTGAAAGCCATTAGATTCTGGGGAACTGTTCCACCAGGAAACCCATCACCCCCCAGAGTTGCTGCGTGAAAGTCAAGCAGTAGCTCGTCCACACGTTCAATTTTGTGGCATGAAGAGTTAGCGCCTATATGTGGGAGAGTCACATGGAATGATGGATTTAACCCAGGCGGTGAACAACTTCGTGTTCATCTGGTTCTCTGTGAAAGCTTCAGTGTGGACCATGCAGTGAATGATTTTAAAAGGATGGTGAATGTTGTCAGTTGAGTCTTCCTTCTGCTCACAGGGAGTTTGGGACAGAAGCCACCTTCTCGTATGCCAGCACTTTGAGTTTAGGGGAAATGTGAATGAGTATGTATGATCCATTTCTAATTAATTTGGCCTTCAGCTGCTGGAAGTCACTTACTTACAAGTGACTTGCCATCAAGAGAATAGAAGCAAAGGTCTTTTAAGTTCCTGAAAGATGGAATCTTGTACTATAATGTACCAGAAGTATTATTTATCTGGCAATGAAATACTTGGATCATTTGCAAACTTGCCTCTGTCTGCTTTGCACTCAGTATTATCTATTTTTATTTTCTGTATGGATGTTTAGAAATTCTTTATATGAAAAATAATTGCTGGTTTAAAATAGACCATTTTAACAAAGTATATTTCTTTTTACAAAAAAGGCTATTTTTCTATGATGTAAACAGTTGTTAGGTGGCAGATTTTTAAGGAAGTATTATTTTATTTAAGAGTCTGTATCCCCTTTTTGTGAGCAGAACCCAAAGAGGGTTCACATTTGCTTTAGAGCGTATAACCCTTTACCCATTTGCTACTTCATCTTAGAAAGTAATGTCTGTGTAAACTTATCACAGGGTTAATAGGATAAACTTTCGCAAGACTTTTGTTTTACAGCAGTAACTCTAAGGTTATATTTGAAACTAACTCTCTGAGAGCCAGCCAATATCCCCATGACAATTTTTTGCTGCCATACCACCAAGATTATTAAAAAAAAATTGTTTCATCTTTGTATGTTTGTGGGGATCAACCTTAAGACTATATTTTCCTCCTCCTTCCCCTTTTAAAGAAATAAGTATTTTTGTCTTGAATGATCCTTAGTCTCTGCATATTTTTAAGTGCTGGAGACATTATATATATATAGGTAGATTTATATATATATGCCATTACAAAAGTATTATGAGGCCTATGTATTCTCCTGTTTACTATTGCATTAACCTGCACAATGTTTATGCATTTTTGAAATGCATTTGCTAGCTAATATTTCCAGAATGGTTTCTTAGATTCCCCTCTCCTCTCCTCTCCTCTCCTCTCCTCTCCTCTCCTCTCCTCTCCTCTCCTCTCCTCTCCTCTCCTCTCCTCGCCTCCACTCCCCTCTCCTACTTTACTTCTTTTCTTCCCCCCTCCCCTCCCTTTGAGAAACCAGATTATCTATTTTTAGACATTTCAAATTCCTAAAATGTGAACTGTTGGGTGGTCTACAATTTGGCCCTACACTGACGGACTGGGCTCTCACGGCCTGTTTTTATCTGTACCATATGATTTTATTTCATAAGAACTTCATGTATTCTGGACTCTAATAAACAAACAAAACCTAAGTAATTCGGCGGGGGAGGGGGGCGTTGGGAATCTTTTCTAGTACCCTTATGTGCAATTCTGGTTCTTACCTATAAACTTGGCCACCTCTTTCCCAAGTTTGACTCTTGTGAAAAAGAGACTTTTGTTCTCACAACATAAAGAGATGAGCCAAGTTTTGGTAGGGATGGTGGAAACTTTTCCCAGGAAAAATTTTGTCCAGCAGAGGTCAATTACTCTGTTACAGTTGGGGAATGACTCAAGCCATCTAGCAAAATGAAATGAGGGGGTGACCTGGAGGGCTTTGGGGGGGTGTGCCCCTCTTTGAATGCAAATGAACATATGTGTATGTATGTATATATATATTTGTACCAATGTATATACATATATATACACACTGCATTCTAAGTTCAGACACATATACATATATATTAGTCTTTTCTGACTTTAAATTTTGTTGATTTAATATCTAAAGACATCTTCTAATCAGAAGAATTGATTTTAGCTTATTTCTCAAGAGAAAAAGAAGGATCCTAAAGAGAATAATTTGCTGTACTATATGTATATCTCAAACAAGCCAAACTATGTTGGTATTCTCTTTTGTTTTATTCTAAATTGTTGTGTCTCATGTTTCTGAAACCATTCTGAATATTGCTGAAATTATTGATATTTATTCCTTTAACCTTCATTTCTGGAATCCAGCCTGTATATAAATAAGTCTTGGGAGGAGTGGGAGGAAGGTAGCACCTTCTGAGGTAAATAATATAGTCTATCATCAAATATAGCCTTCCCAGAGGTTTTGGCCTCAATGCTAATTATTGTTTTATTAACTATTTCTCATACCTACATAACTTTGTTATTATTTGTGGCTGGATAAAGTTTTCAAATTCTGCATTCATCATTGCTTTTCTTGGCATGACTGTTGGTGTCTTAACAATTTGGGATTTATGAAATTAAAAGTTCTCATTTTGACCATTTGTGCTAAAATTGATATGAGGAATTCCCTGTGAAATACATTTGTATTTCTTGATTTGAGAAAGAAGCCAGAACAATGATAAAAACAGCTCTGATTCCCTTTCATTAAAGTTGGTTTCTGAATGACTAAAAACCAAATATTCAGGTTATCATTTTCAGCCTGACATTTCTGCAAGCCCCAGAGAACTCCTCCCAAAAGGTGGTAGCCCCCAATTGCAGCTCCAGAACTATTTGCCTGGATCCTGACTACTTGGATTTCCCTTTTCCCAAGTTCCTTAAAACGTCTCTACTGTCCCACTTCCTGGTTCCCTACTGAGGTATGACTTGAGATTGCAATTCCAGTTTCTCAGCCTTTTGACTGTTGGTCAAGGGATGTTGTTCAGGGGAAGTGTAAGTGTTTTAGCCAATGAGCTGAAAGTCGAACCTGACTTGTGTACAGCCTGGTTTCAGACTGCAGAGACAAGTGAAGAAGTAGAAGCCACTCTTGCTCCCTTCATTCTCTGGCTTCCCAGCTCTGAGAAGAAGATAAGATACACCCCACCGACCCCCCAGTTTATCTGTGATCTCCCTTCACAGATTATGTGTGCTCTGGCTTTTCTGTGGTTGCTTAAAATGATGCAGTAACATCCTCTGCAGCATCAGGTTAGCCTCCCCCGGGAAGTGACCAGAGCAGCTCATGTTTCTCTCTCTGAGCTGAGAGAGAGAAGCACTTTTGGTTGTGGAACTGCTTATCGGTTGTGGAAACGCTTATAGGTTTCGAATAGAGGGTTCGGATCATTGTTCTGCCAGGTGTGTGGATGGCATGAGGGGTTGGGAGTGTGTATCTTCAGCTGAAGGGATTGCCAGCCTAAGAGATTGTTTGCTTTTTCTTGTGGGGTTTATTTTTAACTCTGAAGTCTGAGCATCTGCTTGTGGGAGGCTACTCAGGACAGGATTTCGGAGACACAATTCTACGCAACCTTTAGGAATCCGCCTGGTGGAAGGTCCTTCTTCCGGAGCCTGGGCTGGACCAGTCTGGGACCCACTACGCTGAGGGAGAGATCATAAAGTTGCCTGAGAAAAGAATGATTTTCAGTCTATATATTTTGTTATTAAAAGGGGGAAGGGAATGGTTAAGAGTCTGACTCAGATGGAGGTCTCTTGAAAGGTCACTTATTGCCCATGCAAACAGTCCTGGGGTTTATGAGCATTGTGGGGAGTGGGTAGAGTTCCTGTGGATTCCTGGCCGTGACTTGGAGAACTCTTGCCACAGTTCTGTTTACTACGGAGGACAGGGAGGGCCTTGTTCTATGGGCTCTGCTCTGTGACTGACACTTGACCTCAGTGGCAAGTCCACACTATTGGGTCAGCCTATCCCAGTGCCTTGATTGGGGAGGAAGAGAAGGAGGAAGAGGAGGAGGAAAGGCTAGAGGAAAAGGAGGAGGAAGAGGTGGAAGGAGAGGAGGAGGAAGGGTTGGAGGGAGAGGATGAGGAAGGGAGGGAGGATTAAGAGGAGGAACTCCCTGTGAGATGCTCCCCTTTCCTGGATGCAAGCCAAGTCTGCTGGGGCCTGCAGCTCAGCCCTGTCTCCCTCCTTTCCCTTAGCCCTACAGCAGGGAAGAGATGTGTGACATCCAGGTCACAGGGCAAGAGGGAGACAAAGACAAGTGCAAATTGAGAAGCAGATGGCAGAAATCAGAAATGAAAAACATGTCTGCTGGGGAGGAAAGCAAGAACAGAGTAGAAAGCACCATGAGAACTCCCCCTAAGCCTTCAAATTCTGCCTTGCCTGGAGAGCTCAGCAGAAGCATCTCAAAACACCAACTCCTAAAATTTGGTGAAGGCCCCCGGGGACCCCATAGAACCTTTGTGTTTGCTCAGCATTTCAAGTTCTCTGGGCTCCATTCATGCAAGTGGCAGTCAAAGAGAGTCTGGGGACATGATACAACCGGTGTTGGCTGAGGACCAGGTGGAGTGGGTCAGGAGCCCTCAGATCAGCTGGTCCCCAAGTCCAAGAGCAATGAGAGGGAAAGGCAGGTGGGTAGGGGCGACACCTGCCAAGCACAGGTGACTCTGCCTTCAAGGAATTCTTGTATCTCTCCTCACGATGTTAAGACTGGCTGTTTAAGGGTGGCGGGCCTGCTCCTCAACACACGTCTGCAATAAAGATTTTTGCATGAAAGAGCTTCTGTCCTTGTCTTTGGCTATGGGTACAAGGGCTGCACCATTCACCTTAAAAACTGAGTCCCTCCCCCCCCCCCCCCCAAGTGCTGTGTCCTGCATGGGCCGCATCAGTGATGGACAGAACAGCTTGGCCGCATCCTGCATCTCCACAACATAGATACTGGAGCACTGATGCACTTCTTGGCCTACTGCAGAGTCCCAGCGACGGCATAAGGCCATGGTGGAGAGACCTGAAGTCAATCTGGGGACTAGGTTTGAATTTTGACTCCATCACTAATCACATGACCTGGAACAATCCTTTCCCTGATTTGTTTTCCTTTTGTTTCTGTCTGACTCATTGAAGACACAAGTGGCCCTTGAGCAAAGCAGGTTTGAAACCAAGCAGGTTCAGCCATTTGTAGATTTGTCAGTGAAAATTGGTGTTTATAATTCTGATAAATATGTTACAATGCTGTCAGTGTGTTTTTGTTGTGAATTTATGCTTTGGGGGAGGAGGAGAGGGTTTGGATCATACCTGGTCATGCTCTGGGACTATTCCTGATTCTGTTCTCTGATGTGATCCCTAGCAGTGTTTGGGGGACTGTATGCTATGCTAGGTACCAAACTGGTCAGCTTCAAGCATGGCAAGTACCTCCTGTACTATCCAGCCCCTGAATTTCTTAATTTTCTGTTACTTTATCATAAGACAATATATATAACAAAATATTGAGTAACCGACTGTTATTGGTAAACAGGTTCTTAGTAGTTAAGTTCGCAAGAAATGGAAGACATATATGGAAGAGGGAGCAGGAAATAGAGCCAGTGGTTAATAAAGCACGTGTCTTGCATGTATGAGCCCCTGAGTTTGATATTCCCAGCACTGTACTGGCCCCTAACCACTATTCAGTGCAGCCTTAGAGGTCCTGACATGCACTGCTTGTGTGGCCTATAGAAAAATAAGTCATGTGGACTTTTGTTGCTTTGTTTTATTTTGTTATTGTTTTTTGGTCTTTTGGAGGATTACACCAAGTGATGCTCACAGCTTACTCCTGGCTCTGTGCTCAGGGATCATTCTTGGCTGGGCTTTGGGCACCATGTGGGATGCGGGGGATTGGTCAGTTGCATACAAGACAAGTCTCCTGCCTGTTGCACTATCTATCTCTAATCCTGTTATGTGGATTTTGGATGGTAAGGAAGTCATAATCCCTAACCACCATGAGAATCAGATGTAAGAATCAAATCTCTAGTCACCCACCCCCCCTGGTCTGCAGGGAAAGTACAGGTGGAAGTGCTCATGTGCCACCTGTAGGATTTGAAATCCAGACCCTGCCTAGTCTTCTCTGAGGAATTCACCTCTTTATTTCAGGTAATGCAATTCTAGAAGCAGACGCAAATTTGGGATCTCAGTGGGCTCTCTCTTCGTGGTTTCCAATCACCCACAACTATACAGGCTTTTATTTCAGATTCCTCAGAAGTGTGTCCTTTTCTCCTGCTATAGCTCCTCTCTTCCATAGGAGCCCACAGGTCCTTGACCTTACTGCTTAACTCCACGCAGATGGGTCTTCTCTCTCCACAATCTATGTGTCAGAGCATGTTGAGATGCAGGTTTGAAAGTGAGAGTCCCAGGTGGCTGATGTTGGCATTCACATATTAAAGTATAACCAAAAGAAAAAAAAAAGACACTGGGTCTGATAAATGTTCTAAGATGAAACATACTTGGAGCACTTCTGGTCTTACTACCTTAACAAGCTGTGACCTGCCCTGTCCTCGCCACCTCTGGGTGCTTAAGTTCATAGAGTTATAAATTCCTTAGTTCATAAGTTCATAGAGAGCCAATAGGAGCTGTATCCTTCCAACTGTAAGATCATTTGTAACTTTTGGCCAGATGGGGGAGGGGAGCAGGACCAGAAGTCCACTAGAGGCTTGTGCCTTGCCAGAGGGTCCCTGAACAAAATCACTGGAAAGCTGCAGTTCTCCTTGACCAAGTCATGGGGTGGATGTGTGTGTGTGTGGCCGGGGGGCGGGTCGAAGTCTCATCATCACTTCTTCCACCGAGATGGTCCTCCTCCTTATTCCGACAAATTCTCTTTTCTGCTCCTGGCCTTAGCAATGGACTAGCCAAGGGGCTGTCCCTGCTGAATTAGCTAAGCCTATTTTTCTTATGTTAGACCAGGGCACGGGTTGTTTATGAGCCTGGCAATCAGCCCCAGGCCTTGACCCCCGGTGTTAGTCCAGTCTGCTTGGCTCACAGCTGGCTGCTCAGCGAAGGGCCTTTCAAATGAACTTGGGTTGGGAGATGTGTGTGTCTCGCCAGTGAAGTGGTGCCTTCCTGCTTCTGCCCCATGTAAAAGTAAAAATCTTTCCCTAGATAGTCAGCTTGTATTTCAGACTGGAAATGCTAGTGGTTACCCTGCTGCTCCCAATGCTCAGCATCTGGGGGATTTAACAAACTCACTAGAAGATAGCACCAGCCTCGCTGGTCCTGGGTTAGTGCCAGCTGAGGGTCTAGCTGCTCTCCAGCTGAAGGAGGTAAGTGTGGGGTCAGCCCACACCCCGTGCTGCTGTTGCTTATCTTCAGCCCTCCCTCTGTCCTAAGCATCCTGCTGTACTAATTGGGATATTTTTACCTAACCTGACCTAAGTGTTTTTTTATGATATCAGGGACAGCCACATGTAGAAATAAACCCAACTGCATATCTACCCAGGGGTTCTTTTTGGGTGTTTAAACAGAACATGTGGAAATGGGGAATACAAGGAGACAGACATGGACTTGTGTG